ACTGCAATTCTTCAGACTGAGAATATGCCCAAATATCTGTTTAACCTATTTTCCTGCAGTTCATGAGGTGACACAAAATATGCCAGCATAATTTTGTCTGTCCCAGCAGCCAAACTCAGTTTTGCATTGGTAACAATATCAGTTAGTGACACTGTATTGGCAGCTTTTATGGGAAACAAATTAAGGAACGTGATTGATGGACCTCTTGCTGATGAGAAAAACATCATTCATTTGTTCTATATCTATCTATCTATCTATCTATCTATCTATCTATCTATCTATCTATCTATCTATCTATCTATCTATCTATCTATCTACCAGCCAAATTTCTATACTGCCATCCTATTTGCATGACTCTGGTGGTTTACAAATAAAACAATAACATCGTAGAAAAGCCATACTTATAAACAAAGTTAAAAACAGAATGAAAAAGAACAATTGAAAAGTAAAAAGGGACCATCCCCAAGGTTGCATGACTCTCTTAGACCACCATGCCAGTTGGCAGAGCTCTATGGGCAAGATGTTCCGTGGTTCCATAGTTCCAACCCTATAGGGCAAGGTGGAACTTTTGACCATTGGTTTTAATTGCCTGTCACAACTCAAGGATGACTAGAGGTTTCCTGCTTCTCTTACTTTATTGGGAACCTGCACTCAACCCCTGATATGGTAGCGCACCCCACCAACCCTGTAGATAATTTGTGGATTATCTCTCTTGCTTCAGCTCATATGTCCTTCATGTTCTTTTACTGTCATGCCTCTCTTCTATTGTCAATTTGCTGCTCTATATTTCTTGCTCCTCTCTTTTGTCCACCTTTCTCTTATTTCTGCTGTACTGCCTTGCTTCTCTATTGCTCTCTTTCTTGTTTTCCCTCTCATTTGCTGCTTCCATTGCTCTTTTTGAAAACACCTTTTGGGAGACTGTTAAGATGAGCTTCTGGGAGGGTTCTGGCACTTCAGATTTATTCCATTTGTATATTAACTGGGCAATGATTTGTCTATAAATATAAGAAGTTGGCATACAGAGCTTCCGGTTAGGTGTTGCAGCATGATGAATGCAGGAAGACAGACTCAGTCTTCCACATTTGATTTCGCCCTGCTGGGGACCCTAAAAAGGGTCAAAAGTCACCCCAGAGAGGTGACAAAGAAGGAGGGGATCCTTGTTGACTGCAGAGCGGTGGCAGCCCTTCTGTTTGATCTGGTGGGGAAAGACTAGCTACATTCATGTGGCCAGTCAGAAGCTGCTGACAACCAAAGAAAATAAGTACTAACGATCAACTTTTGAGCAATGTGGATGGAAGTGGATGACACTTTATTCTCTCTTTATGACTTTAAGACTTTTTCCTGGAAAAAACCACCCAAAGCAAAGAATCCTCCCTGATGAGAGAGGGAAGGGGAATTTCCACCCCATTCTCTCAGGAAAAGAAAAGCGGCGAACTAATTGCTTGGGGGAAAACAGAGAAAATTACAAGATTAATTTGGAATCAATACAGATATATAGCTTTGAAATTTGGGGACTAAAAGTGCTTTTGAGACTTTTTTGAGACTTGAAAAGCTTGCAATATATGAAAATATATGAAAAGCCGAAAGCCGGCATCAGTGACATCTAGTGGCGAACCATGGCACTACAATTTATTATGCCTAAAGGAAACTTGGTTTGAAGCTCAGACCCAGATAAGATTTTTATTGTCCTTGGAAACTTTTACTTTTGAAAACTACAGCTGGGAAAAGGGAAAAAAAACTCTTGGGCTGCTTATCTGTGTGGCAGAGACAATATAAACTATTTTGAAACTGACCTGCCTGGATTACAAATACAAATACTAACTGACCTTTAGAGCAGTGTCATGGAGCTATTTCCCTGTACAAGAAACATGCATTACTGATTGAGATGATGGAATACTTTGGATTATAAACCTTTGATTGATGAACAACTTTTAATTGCTTTTTTCTCTCTGGACAGAAAGGATATGTTTTTCACTGGACAGAAAAACTTGAATTTTGCTTATATTTGTTTAGGGGAGGCTTAAGGATGGATTGCTAGGTTGGCTGGATAATTTGGAGTTCAAATGACAATTGACTGAAACTTTTTAAATCCCTAAATAGATTGGACTATAAAGACCATATACAAAAACAAAATGGATGTTCCATACTTAACCTTAAATGGTAAAAAAAACCATCCCTAACACCTGTCTTCAAAGCCCCCAACTTGACATACCAACAAGAAAATGTTGATGAATCTCAGAAAGAAATTCTTTCTATGTTGAAATCAATACAAGAGACAATTGCCTTAGCTCATGATGAGACTAAAAATAATGCAAAGGAGATAAAAGAACAAATTTCTAATCTAAACCTACAAATTCAGAAAATAACTACAAAGAAGGAACTAGTAACCCAGAAAATAGAAGGAAAATTAGAGGGAGTGGATCCAAAGATGGAGGACTTAAAGGAAGGAATCAACAGACAAACTCAGACAAATGAAGAATTAGATGACGTAGCGATAATACCGAAAATGGAAAAGATATCTTACTTGTCAAGATCTCAGAATACATTTGAGGATAAGGAAGAAGAACTGATCGAATGGAAGATAAAGCTGTTAGGAGAATGGTGGAAAATTGGAGAAGGAGAGAGGCTGTTTACTGAATATAAATGGGCTGAGCATTCTTCCAAAAAATACATTAATCAAATTGTCTTTCTTATTCCAAACAATATACACAAAAATAGAGGAAGAACTACTTGATGATTCAAATGCATTGACTTGGAAAGTTAGTTGGCAAAGGAAGAAAACTACAGTAAGACTGAAGAAAATAGAGATTTTGACCCATTAAATGGGATATTATACTATTAAAGATGTTTGAACATGGCTAAGAGAATAGATAATTGTTAGAAATAAAACTATCCTAAAAAAATAGGATCTGCAATTAGAATACTATATTTTGGTATGAAAAGGAAATATGAAATGCTAAAAGGGTCTGAATAAGGCAGGGCTCAGCAACCTTAAACACTCAAAGAGCCACTTGGACCCATTTCCCAGAGAAAAGAAAACACCGGGAGCCGCAAAACTTGTGTGCGCGCGTGCGCGCACGCGAGGGGGGGAGAGCTTGATTGAAGAGTTTAATTAAAAAGAAATAGAGGCTGATGTGCATGAGTTCTCATTCTCTCTCTCTGCTGCTGTTTCCTGCACACACACACACACACACACACACACACACACAGAGAGAGAGAGAGAGAGAGAGAGAGAAGGGAAGTGCAAGTGCCTCTCTCTCTCTCTCTCTCTGTCTGTCTCTCTCTCTCTCTCTCTCTCTCTCTCTCTGCAAATGGCGGAGGAGATTGGGAGCTGCAGGAGAAGGCTCAAAGAGCCACATGTGGCTCTGGAGCCGCGGGTTGCTGACCCGTGGAATAAGGGAAGCTTTTGGTTACCCAAATATAATTTATTATGAGAAAACTATAAGCAATAGAGACACTTTGAACATTGATGGGAAATCAAAAAATTTTTAAAAAGCGAGAAAAACAGAATATTAATTGAACAAATGGATTTTAAATGTAAATGCAATTGAGATATGTTTTGGTTAGAAGAGATATTTTAAACTGACACTATTGATATTATGTATAATATTAGAAAAATGTGATAAAGATGTTGATATTCAATTGTATATGTATTAACAGCAATAAGAATTGTATTTGCCTAGTATATACCACCAGAAGAAGAGAGGATGAACTGGATGGTGTAGTATTGGATCTGGATTTAGGAAGTTAATATGTACCACTGAATTACTAATGGACCCAGACAACACGTTGTTTGTTAAGTACTTATGATTGTAAAACTAGAAAATTAATAATATATATATATATATATGTATGCTATGTGTGTGGGAGGAAACATGACTACACATTTTTGGAAAAATTATTTTCAGTGAAGATTTGTGATAGTATCTGGACTTTAAAGGATTACAGCAGAAAGATCAATTGGGCTCTGTACATAACAAATGGAAAACCTGTGCATATTTGGAATATCAGAACATCTTGAAAGGTTGACTTGCTATCAATTTTGAAAGCATGATTGTGACAGTATGTATATACCAAATTTTCTCTGCTCAAAACCCAATTTTGTTCACTTTTCACTTTATGGGGAAAATCAATCAAGGGACACTGAGCACTGTTTCTATGAAATAAAACGAAGAAGATTTTTTTTTTTAAAAAAAGAAAAGAAATTGGCATACTATGCATTACATGCCCGATCCTGATATTTCATGATACTCAAGCTAAAATAGTCATGGAAGGAAGCCACCAGTAGTTAAGAGACGAGGGTTATGTAGTCCAACCTAACCAGTAGTTGCTTGGCAGACTCCAGCCCCTGCTGCACCATTAACAAAACTGTCTTGCATAAAATAAATCTGTGGTTGTGAGAAAAAGATCGCTATCAGATCTCAGCTATGGACTAAGAATGAGATGAAAGCCAAGTCATTTTAAGACCATGTCCTTAAAAACATTTTAACATTAGGTATTTTCAAGTACAGTTAGAAAGATCTGTAGATGAGCTTTGAGTGTGTGCCTCATCTGTGGATGAATGTCGAATGGCATATTTTATCCTCTCCTATATAACCCTGTGAAATAGAACATCAACAAAGGAATGAACCAGAACTCTCTTTAGAGATTCTCTTCTCTTCTCATTCTGTTGCGTAATGGAAAACTTCATAATATATTGACTCATGCTGCCACTGAGAGCTAATATATGTCCAAAGGAAAAAGACATGATCCTATTCTGTTCAATTTTCAGAGAGTAATCTTGCTGATGGGAAGAGTGAGAGGGGAGAATGAGAGAGAAAGGGAGAGAAAGAGAAGAAGAAAGACAGAGTTTTGAGCTCTTTTATAAAATTGCTTTCTAATATTTTGCTGAGCTGTAAATAATAAAAAGAACTTGTGTACACAGTTGGGAAAGGATTAAATAGCAAAATAAAGTCAATCTATTTTCATTTAAATAAAAATCATATAATAAGGGTACATACCTAAACTGAATAGCACCAAAAATTTGAGACATACAAATTCTCGTAGGTCAAACTGCAGAGATCGTAGTTTAGCTACCAGCTCCTGTGCATGGCTCATGAGACTGTTGAGGGTGGCACCTGCTTGAGATGCGATTACGGAATAATCCACCTGTAAAAGGGCATCAGAATTTGATTGGCTATAGTTAACCAGGTACATCGTTTTCTAGTTCATACATTTGTAAAATGGATTCCTTTTACCAGTGAAGTGCTGAGACACAAGGAGGACGAGGATAAAAATATACATCTGCATATAGTTTTCAGTTCTGATCTGTTCTTCATCTGAAGAATTCTGCACCACACCTTTCAATTTTGATGAGAATCATTATCACACATTCAGTACTTTGTTTCTGATATTTTATCTAATTTAGGCAGCAATATACAGAGCTCTCTCTCTCTCTCTCTCTCTTTGTTCATCCATCCATCCATCCATCCATCCATCCATCCATCCATCCATCCAGTTGTCTTCCCAAAATTTAATGGGATTTAATTGTCAGTTCACAGAAAAAAGATCAAGCTATCTAGATAATATCTACTTGTTTTTGTGAGGTTATTGTGAGGATGAGAACAATTAAACATGTATCTCATCCTATGTTATCTACTCTTTCAGTTCTCAAGAGGCAGACTGAAATAAAATCTTGACTTTTCTAGATAAACATACTGTATACACATATACATGACTGTTATACAATGTTTTTAAACTGCACTTTTTATCTGTTCATGTATTGTTTTGTTTGTATACACCATTTGGGATTTATTTTTCAAACTGTGATATGAATACTATTGTTTATGTAGCCAGATTATATCATCCCAATTCAAAAGCAAAGTATGAACAAGGTATGGAGAATCCTAAAGCATGACTAAATATTAAAAATCAATAAAGGTGGGGGGGGGAAACAATAAAGGAATTGGCAGTTGTAAAATCAGCAGGGAGGTGTAGGGATAGATAGGACTGACGTTGTTTTTTTTTTTAAAGAGGAATGTATAGCTGAATGACCGAGTAGTGAACAGAAGTATTTTGAACTACAACATTTTATTGCAGAATCACTTATTTAAGTCAACTTCTACAACTTAATGAGTAACAAATGTGCTGGAGTTCAACTTTCAGAAATAAGAAGTAATTGTATATTAACAGAAGATTTGTTTATTTGGATGGTCTGTTTAAATTATCTTCATGACAGTTCTCAAAGCTACTGTTTAAATTTACCTGGCTTCAGTGTGATTGTCTGTCTTATCTTAAGACAATAGAAAGTATGGTCTTTTTTTTCACAAGTTAGAAAACCAAGAAAATCACCTTTAGGTGGGGAATGAAAGCAAACTCAATGTTTTAAGTTAAGTTTATGTTGAGGTGCCGTTCTTCTCCCTTGTTCTTGCTCATGAACTTTGGATGAAATCAGGTTTGAATATATAAAGGTTCACAAGTTCATTTCCAGCATAAATAAATGATCCTAAATACCATGGCCATTTAAAACCTTATTTGTCGGCTGCAACTAGCAAATCTAGGATTGCTGCAAAGACAGGTGTATATGCTACCAATTTCCTCCCTGCAATTTGTTGGGAAAATATATTGGAAAGAGATTGTCCCTTGAGGAGGTTCTCAATTGTACTCTCTTGCTTGCTTGCTTTATTTATATCCCATCTTTATTATTATTTTCATAAATAACTCAAGGTGGTAGATGTCTACGGAGATTCTCAGTCATCCAGGTCATGGATTTTCTTTGTCTTCTCATCCAAGAAAGCTTCTTCTACGATCAAACAAACTAGCGGCTCCTAATGTTCTAGCTACAATATTAAGACTTGCAGCATAAGCTATGATGTTTTCACACCCAGAAGAAGCTTCTTGGATGAGAAACAAAATGTCTTCAAAATGTCCACCTTGGGGTCAAGATGGTAGACTTATATAATACTCGTTCCTCCTTCTACTTTCCCTTCCACAATGAACCTGTGAAATGGGTTGGGGTAAGAGAGAGTGACTAGCCAAATGTCACACAGGCAGCTTTAAGAGAAACTATTGTCTTCTCTTTCTAATAATAAATCAAGATTTTCCAATTAAATTCATGAATACTGGAGCTATACTCTTCCAATAATAATGTAAAGGGAAACCCCAATAGATAGATTCTCTTACCTACTGCTTCTAGTGGATTCTTAGGCACTAACTTCACTTTGAGATGCATTTAATATTTGCTGAACCAGCAAATTTGTCTGGGAGGCAAGTCTTCATCTGCCACTCAGCCAAAGCCGACTGTATTAAATTTTTATATTTATTGACATTTCATTACCATAATTGACTGCACTTGGTTCCCTAGTAGAAGGCACGGGGATGCCTCCTAAGCAGGAGAATTGGTCCCCTGGGTCAGATTTGCAATTAAAAACAAGGCAGAATGGATTTTTTTTATTGTGTAAATATGATGAGTTGAATTTTCAGCTTTAGCTAGAGAATACGGATAGCCAAGAAAATCTTTTTTTCCACGAGTGAGCAAAATTATGACTCAGTGGAAAGATGACCCCCCAAAGGTGTCAATCAGTTTATATAAACTCAACAGTGCATGAAAAGCCCCGATTAATGTCTCTTGGAGTAGGGATAGGGGAGAGCATTCCTGTTAAAGAGAATATTATTGCTGCTAGCTAGTCAATGACCTATTTGTCTATGGAAAAAACCAAATCCTTTGGAGCTAATATTTAGCTCAGAATGTATGATTGAAAATCATGCGGGGGGGGGGGGGGGAGGGAATGCAGGCTGAATCCTGATGTTGATCTAGAGAGGAATTTTACTCAGGTATTTAAGACTTATCCTTAACAGTGTTCATTGAACAATTCCTTACAGAACAACCTCTGTGAGATGATTTGTATGTTATTATATTGCCATTAACAAAAAAAAAAAAAGAGAGATTTGGATTGCTCTTTTGGGATCCCCGAAACAAGCTATAGGATAATTCAGATATTTCCCTTTGAGATCCAAGAGGAATGACAACCTCAGAGTGGAAATGCACCACTAAAAATAGTAGGGATTTATAGGAGTTGCGGTACAATATAACTGGACTGCCAGTGGCTGGAAAAACTGTATTCATCTTACTACATTCATCTTACTATCTTATAAGATGCACTCATCTTAAATGATGGAATCTCCCAGTTGTTAGGATGTATTAAGAAAATTTCAAAGGAGTATGATACCGGATAGGTGAGGAACGGGTAATTACAAAGTTCAGCTATCTTATCCCTTCCCAAATCCCATCACAAAACAAGGCTTATAAAGTTTCTATGGGCAGAAGAAGAGAGGCCTCTAATTGTAAGCATTTAATTGAAGGATGATAATGATTATACTGATACGCTGTTGGAAAATTATTTCCCTAGAATAAACAGAAGTGGGAATTGGAAGTTAAAATTAATGATCCATTTAGTTAATGAGAAAGTAGTAATTTATTTAATTATTTTTTGGAACCTACCTATATATTGCTTTCCATATATTTCCAGTAATAAAAATAAGAAGTACCTTGAGACAAATCCATATTTGTGCTTATTTCACCGTTTTTATCTATGATTTGGTTTCTTATGGTTACATATTTATAAAATAATCAGCTTCTTAACACTTTGACCAATACCTGGGTTTGGAATATCGAATATTCATTTCATAATTAAGTTCATGTGCTTGATTACTTAGTGTATTTTTTGTTCACTTTAAAGATGTGTAGGTTTTTTTTTGTTTGTTTGTTTTACCCAAAAGCAGTTTGGAGGCTTTCTCCTTTTGACAAATAATTTCAATTCCAAAGATTATATTGATCAATGAAATTAATTCATTATTCCATAAAGTCAAACCTGCATTTTGAGAATACATTATGCAGATTATTTAAATTATACAAAAATATATTTTTTCAAGAATTTTTTTTTAAAAAAAATACATTTTAATTTACAAAAATATTTCCAGCAAGTCATTTTGGGGAACAAAGCAGAGTCTTTTCAAACCTTTTTTTTTTTGTGAAAAAGAGTTCGGTCTATACAGGGATACATCCTACACAGAGACAGCAGGCAGAATAAAATCAGCTTTCATTAAATTAATTAAAATTTTGATGACTTGTACAATATACGATGCCTGTCATTTTAACATGATATGCCAATAACAGAAGATAATGAATTAAATTCTGCGCAGACTTCTCCCTCTGGATGATGTTAGAGAGGTTGCTAATTAGTTCTAATATGCAAATAGTAAAACTGATAACTCTTCAAAGTGATATAAAACATCTAGTATGTTTATGGACTGTGATTATATCAAGAGAGAAATTAAAAAAGAAACCTAGTCCCTGCTACATAACTTCTATCTCATGAAATGGAGATTAGTATAAAATTGTCAATCTGTGTGTAAGTTTCCTTTGTTTATACGTAACTAGATGGACATATCCGTAGCTCCTATCTTGATTTATTTAACCATTTTAAATCTCTCCTTTTCTCATAGAACTTTTTTCATTTCAACTGCACAAGGACAACTGAGCTGAGGAGAAGTGACTAATTTGAAGTTATCTAGTATACTTCCATGACTAAGGGCAGATATGAGTCTGGCTCGTTCATCAAATGGGTGAGTTAACCCCAACTCTTTACATAAAGCTGTTTTGTTTGTAGTGTCAATTTGGTAAAGTTGTGGCCCATCAAACAAACTTTATCTCACCAGCCACATAAGAAAACTGATGACAAAAATTCCTCAGATGCAGATACCAAGCATTCTGCAACTTAGTTCTACTAAACAAAATAAAGCTTGCCATTGTGAGGAAGGCCAATGATTGTTCATGCCAGGTGCTAGGGCTAGATTAAGAGACTGGCAGTGCTGTGAAACTGGATTTGGAGGCATGCCTGCTGGTGTTATCTGCTTGATTATGGGCTAGACAGCTGAAACAAACAGTGTGAACAGTTCATCATCATTCAAAAACTGTTGGCAATATATGGTCAGCCTTGTGTGAACATTTGTTGGGATGGTTACCTTTGGGGGACATTTAGAGCATCGGTGGCTATTCCAAAATGGCACACATGTGATCAAATCCATGCATACCATATCATATGGCAGAGATAAATCTTGCACATCTAGAAACATGGGGTACAAGGGTAGTAAGAAAATAAGCTATGGAA